CTTCCTTCCTGACCCCGGAGCAAAGTGTTTCTGTGTGTGCATGTCTTCAGGCTCCTTCCCTGAATAAGGCTCTCTTCAGTGCAGAAAATTGCATTACAGTCCTGGCAAGAAAACATTTCGGAGCCGACTGTTTTCCTGACTCAGTTTACCGTTTTTGTTACAGAAAGGTAACCTAATCTTTCATCCTTAATGAGGACATATTTCATGGCAAATGCATGATCACTTAAACAGTTCACCTCACCTTATTCAAATCACATTTTTCCTGATTGAGACAAGCGATATCAAAACATCTTAAAATGCAAAGAAATGTTTTGAGGCCAAAGGCTTAGCATGATATACGGTATAAGAGAGCGTAATAGTGTGGTGTAGCTGACATACTGCGAGCATTTTCACATCTGAGCTTTGACTGACACAGGACTCTTTACAGTAAAAACTTGTTCTACTTGGCTCTGCTCCACTTTCACATATCCTTGTCCCATGCTAACAGTGTTTGCTGAACGCAACCGATCACTTGTGTCTATTAGTGGCTCATGAAAAGGAAGAAAAGCATATACACTCTCTGTGCATCATGATCTGGTGTTCATTTGATAGTTTCGAACATGGGCAGCCCACCTGGTTCTGATTTTCAGCTTGCATGCTGGTCAGAGTTTCCTTGTTTTATTGGAAATCTTGTTCATATATCCCCTGCCCGGTCCCCGCTGACCTCTGACAGCTCCCATGGGGCTCATGGGTACATCCAGGACCAGGAAGCACAGTGCCGCCGTGCTCTGTGTACACGGATATTGCTTACTAAGATGACACTTGTGAAAGTTGTTCAACAGTTTGCGTTTTGTTTGTGTAGGCCTGCTATTTAGTCACTCGTTGTTCCAAATAAGAGCTACGGGGTGTTGTCTTGTCAGTGAACCGTGAGGAGCTGACGTGTCAGCGCTACTGTATGCTTTTATTCAGCCTGCTTGATGTGAACGGATTGTTTCATAAAAAGGTACAATAATATTTGTCTTAGTCACAAAACAGGATGTACTATGATCTCAGCTCTATGTTTCTTAATATTAACAATGACTTAGCAACTGCGGTACAAAGCCAAATATTAAGTTGATTTGACTGGAGAATATTTAATAGCAATGGAGTCATTCAATTAAATAATAGGTTGCAACTTTATGACATGTTTTAAATTGTCACCTGCCGTTTGAATTCTATTTTATTCTTTACATAAATAAAGGCCTTTTTTAACATTAATAAATCAAATATAGAAATCAGTGGTGGTGGGCACCCGTTCCCTCCACTTTATTTGTGAACATACCGCAATTTTAAAACAAACCATTAAAAATGAATTAAAAGTATTAATATTTCAATCTGGTGTTATTTCAATAAAACCTGGAGGATGTCACGACTGGTACTTTTTTAAATACTTCTAAAATGAACATCCTTGAATCAAGTCTGACCTTTGTTCTTAACTCACTACAACCGCCCTTAATAATAAATTCATAGAAAAGCAACAACCTAAACAACGTTATTTCGGTACTTTATATTGGAGTTTCTTTCTTCAGTTTTTGCTTTTCAGTCTTATGGGATTCTACAAAGGAAAATAGTCAAATGAAAATGAGCACAGATTTTAAATAGATCTTTAAAGAGAGCAGAAATGGGGATCTCCCGTTGGTCCCTCTCTGTGCTGCTGCAGCTATAACAGCAGAGCAGCGGTAGTAAACGGTCTGCAGATATATTGAAAATGACACAGCACTCTAGATAAGACCAACAAAACCCATGTGACCACGCTGGCTATTGAAGCTTGGATATTTTGTGGCCTTGCGGGGGAAAGTTAATGAGAAAAACACAGATTCTAACTTTGTACGGTATGAGTTGGGTTTGTTTTGTGTTATTAAGTCAGTTATTGGGTTCCATACAGAAGTTGTCAAGGCTGAAATGCGATATTGCTGTTATTTTTTAAATGCAGCGTCGCTTATTTTACTATTTTGTGCACAACATTTGTATTGCATCTGTTTTCCCTATATCATAGCATTTGGTAAATAATATATCTTGTATTTTATGTATTTTGGAAAAAATAAACTGCCAAAAATTCAACTGTGTGATTTATTAACCATTTATTTTAGTATAGTGCTTGGCCAATTCAGATTTTTTGCTGAGGATAAAACATACTAAATCATTTTAGTCTCCACAAAGCTCTATCATACAATACTCTTTCAGGAACCGCCCAAATCCTTGTGCGAAGTGAAATAGTAAATAATAGCCTTGGATTTAGCTGGGATAGACCCTGACACTAGGTCCTTGCTTTGCTTCAAACATAAGGTTTCTTTTTTTCTTGACATGGATCACCGTCCTGATGTAAAGCTGGCATTCTGTTCTGATTTAGTCTAATAATTTATTGCATCTGGCATCAGGGTCTGCACAACAAGACCAAAGGCAAAGCACAAGCTTACAGAAAGAACCTGATATTTCTGCACCCTAATCAGTTTAAGATGCACCCTCTTATTTTTGAGGAAAAAAAAACTCTATTTGTGAGATCTAGCAGACAAAACATCTTTCTAGACTTACGGAGCCATTAATATAGATATAATCATAGGTCTCTTCCAGAGGATTTTGCCCTCAGAAGGGAATTCCTTTTCTGGTGAGTGCCCGACTCCCTTCAAAGCCAAAGTGTGACTTACAAATGACTCGCTGTGAATGAGTGACGGAGGACATGAGAGATGGCCGACATCCCCTTTGGAGTATTAATTATGGCTCAAAGGGTTTCACGAGGCATAGGAAAATGCACTGAACATATACAACCAATATAGTTAGAACACAACTTCAATTTACTGTTAGGATACCAAAACATGTATATCAAATATCATTTTTCAGAATAAATTACCTCCTTAGAAAGTGATAATACATATTTTTGACGTTTTTAAACATTTTGCATGAAACTACTATTTTTTGAACGTTTCAAAAATAAAATTTGTTTCACTTTTTAATATCCTTGAGGTTGTGAGACTCATCACATCAGAATGAGGACAGACTCCTCTGGATGACAAAGTGAAACGGGGGCCAGCTTCCCGGCCATCAAAGCAAGTTCGGAGCTGCCTTTTGAAAAACAATGGCGCAACAGCTAATGTGTCTCATTGAAACGCTCGGCTGGCCGTGAATGGACCCATTTGCCCACGTTAAAAGACATCTTCAGAGTCAGACTTAGTGGAGGTGAGACTGTCACTAATGCTGGCGCCTGGCCTCACCTGGCTGCATAACTTCACCAGTGGCAGGCCAACAGCCTCCATTGCCAGGCACAAGGCATAAATCCATAGTGTATATATTAATGCTGCCAAATGCACACACTTTAATACTTTCCATTTGTGCACCAGTCGGATTTCTTTCCTACAATAAAACTTTTTTTTTGTACTTTTCTAAATGTATCTCAAGTGTATTTTTTATTAGTTGAATCCTAGTCTCAAATAAGGATTATTTAACACAAAATGCCCTCTATTAAAAAGAAAATTGAGTTGATTAAGTGCAATGATATTAAAGTGATGTTCAAATAAGCTTTATATTTTACATTTTTAATATATGTGTGTTTTTTGTAAGACAGAATGTGCATCTATTTAAATGCATTTCCTTATGCATGTGCTGTGTGCTTTCTCTTGGTAACCCACATAAGACAGGGTGGGCCGCAGACTTTGGGCAGCTCTCGGCTGAATTATACAGCTTGGTGAGATCCACTGAGGGTGACCCCACTTGTTGAAAGCAAAAACACAAATAGGATCTTGTTTCTGTGTTGCCGTAAGGGCTAAAACAGGTTTAAATTATTAGGTTGATTTAGATTACCTGTCCCCTCTCAGATAGATTGCATATTTAGAACGTAAAAAATATCGTAGGTTTCATTACATATAGTACATTTTATTTTTGATTTAATAATCAGTTTAGGTGGCTTAAATTTCAGTACAATTGCTCATTTTTAATGTTTTGTAGAAGAGAAGGAGAGTTGTATGGAGGCCTAAAGAAGTACATTTAATTGTATTTGTAATGCTAATATTCTGACCCATTCCAGTTGTCCTATGAAACCCCCATTCTACCAGAACTGTATCACAGACACAAACATCAAACATGTCCGGAAATATTATAATTTGTGTTTTCATATTTACCTAGCTGCAAATGGAGCATTGCAATGAAATAATGTATTCCGGTAGTACCCCAGAACAACCCATAATGTGGGCAATTAAGTTATTAACTTGAAAGAAGTGAACATGGTGGGAGATGGGAGGACAAAAATAAATAAATAAGTGAACGTACTTCTCAAAAGAGATGGCGGTTCTGAACATGCATCTCCATAAAAGCATTATCCACTATTTTATAGTAGCAACTTCATTGCATTTTCAATGGTATAGAATTAAAAAACAGTCAGATCCATGACTATACATTTCTAGCTAAGTCGTACAATATTTTTTGAACATTTTCATTCCTATTCCAGGAGTTTGACTACATAACCAGTATCAATACTCCCACCTACTGGCCAGTGCCTGTCAGTGTGTAGCCCAGCAGTCTTTTTTCCCCTTTCCCAACCTCCCACCGCCCACCATGAGGCTTCCCTTCCTGCTGGAGGAATGGTAAAGTGATCTGTTGGTCCCTAAGTGCTTTTTGCTGTCAGTGGTGTTGACGTGGGATGCAATAGAACCCCAGCTGAGGCCACCTTGATGGAGCAAGACCTGTTGGACAGCGCAGACAGCATCAATAGACACAGTGTACACGTTCACTCCCAGACATGTTGGACATTTATTTTCTTTTTTCTGTCTTGCTCCATTTCTCTAATTCTCGTGCTATATTTTTTCAAGAAATGTATTATAATTTCTTTAAGTTTTTTTTAAAGTTCTTAATATAGGACAAAAGATTGTTCACCCATTTCTGCTATGTGTGATTATGGCTTATTGACATCAGTTGAATCACTGTCTCTGGTTTAAAGAATAAATGATAATATTCTGGTACATATCGTAATGTGTGTTTTTGTTTCCATCAAGCTCCATCCGGGAAAACAGACATATTTCTAGGCACTTTCGGAACGATGGAGTGTATGGGAAAATCCCCCCCAACTGTTGGAGGAAGCCATAGACACAAACAGAGGAGAGTTGGGGACTACCTGCTGTTTAAACAGATAGCATGGCCTGTGTGGCCGCGGCTGCTAAGGCCCCTGAACTTCACTCCACTTCAGATGTTTAAGAGTCCCAGCGAGGGCATTGCAGTTCTCCTGAGAAATAAGCAACTACTTGGCCAGAACAGCCTTTGGATCCGAGGGTGGACCGCCAGCGGCGATGTTGAACTCTTCTGCTGATTGGTCAGCGGACATGCAGAACATCCTCCAGGGAGCTGATGCTTGGGTGGTTCGGGAGATTACCAGGCAGCCGTGCAATTAAGTCAAATAAGCTTGAGGAGAATGACTTAATGTGCATCAGGCCCCTGCTGAGAATACAAATTATGGAGAATATCTACTGTAGTGGGAGTTCACAAGAAATGCACATTACGGTTGGTATATATACTGTACAAATTCAGATGTGTTGTTGTTTAATTCCAACTATTAATGAGTGAGTAAATTGACTGTGATTAAAACCCAAAGCACATGATTTATGTAATCAAACTCTATGGTTCAATTTACAGGCAACAACCTGAATGCTAACACTGTATGAGTAAAACCATTCTGGCTTTTGATTATTGTCAATAAATATTTGTTTGAAATCTCCATGGCAGGAGGATCTTGTTTGCTAGCCGATCCCTAACATCATGCTAGTTAGGTTCACAATTCTGCTAATAATAATCCTATGTGCTCAAATGTCTAAATATAAAAAAATGACTCATGTATGTGCTCGCAATTGGCAAGGAAGATGTGGACAGTTTGGCATGTCCAATTTAATATATTATTTTTCTAGAGCAAGCTGCATGTTACTGTTATTATTGTACATCTTTAACAATTGGAGAATAGTGCAAACTGAGAGAATGGATTCTTAAATTGTCAAAACAATCCACCAAAATGTTACGTAACACAGAAATTCATCAGTCTTTTTACTACGAGTAATTGGTATATGATTTGCCCTCACTCCCAAATGTACACTGCACGGCAAACAACCCACAATGATGGTGATGTTCGGTTCGACAAATATGTCATGCTACTGAAAAATGCTAAGAAACAAGCTACATCGTACAGCATATTTATGCCAAGCTTTAGTGTACTACAAGAACCAACAGACTCAATTATTAATCTCACATTAGAGATGACGAGTAAAAGATGGAAATAAGGCCAACAGCATGTATTCAAGTGTTATGAATGATACAGTGAGAGCAGTTTGACTTTAGAATGAGGCTGTACTAGTAAAACACCTGTGGTCCTGTGAGCAGAGGCTCTGAACTTTGTACACTGTGTGTGGGGGGCCGGGGGTATGACTGCTTCTATACAGAGCCAATGACTGGCCAGGGACCAACAGGAGCAGTTGTAAAAATAGATGCAAAAGCAATACCTGCCCCCCATGTTGAGAGAGAAACAGGTGAAGACGAGTTTATCTGATATATCTTAAACACACCTCTGTAAACAAAAGTCTTTAGTTTAATCAATTATCTTTGCAAACACTAATTTCTAAATAGGCTTTTGGAGAAATTAGAAAGTCATCTCAGGCCTGTAAGACAAGCCTTTCTGTATAAAGCTTAAATCAGAAAAAAACAGATTGATATGTGGCCACCCCTTAGCAGCATGACCGCCTAATCTCATTTTATTGCACCAATTTCGTGGTTCACTGGAAAGCTGCATTTATTTAGAGACACATGAAAGTGTCAATAAGCAAAAGTATTAATTGGGAGCCACCCAACCTCACCTCAACAGTACCCTGTTGTTAGTGCGAGCGCCTTTCCCCTGCATTTCCTCTGGTACTGAGCTAATCATAATATATAAACTGACCTTACAGGAAGCCGTGTCCCACTGTGCAGTTTTACTTACCAACCCTGCCTTTCACTTTTTAAAGGCCATTTAAGGTAAAGGCGGTTAAGACCAGCATTTTTTTAACTAGTTCATTTGTTTGTGGATGCCAAACGCCCACAGCCACTGTTGAACACAGCTGCTTTCACCCTAAAACTCCACCTTTAAAAGAAACAATTGTATAGAGAAGCGGTGACATCATTTACGCGAATATGTTGTTGAAAATCCAAGAACGTCTCGTTGTATATTTGATTTGGCCCTGCTGACCAATACATCACATGTCTTCGGCTGCGACTATTTAATGTAGAATCTCCAAAACTCACAAATGCAGTGTGACCAAATGTTCCAGAGATGTACCAGTATACTAAACAGGCCATATATCTCTGCTCTCCAAACAGAAATAGATTTTGCTGAATTGTTTGATACATTTGGTCTAAGGTTTTCCAGCCATCCTTATTGGAGCTCCTACTGTTTTTCTGGCTGTTGGTGGCCTAAGCCCTAATCACCCTGCGTTCCCTGAGAGGCCATAAATTACTCCGATGAGATGGTGCTTTGTGTTCCTACTGCCGGGGAGCGGGGCGAATTCACAGCGCCGTATTTTGACAACCCATACTTTAAATCATTGTTTTATGACGGATGGGAAAACTTCTGCACTTTCACCGGCCTGATTTATGTTCATTTGGGTCTGGAGGACACTATAATTTGCAAGTAATGTGAAAACAGATGGATAGAGAGATACCAAAGGGTAAGACTGACCTACACATTCTCAGTGCAGCTTACAAATGGCATCCATATGCCGCGAGAACTCTTCCAGTTACATCTCCATTACAGCTGTGTGTGAATGTGTGTGTGTGTGCACATGTTTGAAAGGGAAATGAAGGAAGAAGCCTGTGAAAATGTAATGTTGAAGCAGGTTTTTGTTGAAGGAGTAATGTTGAAGCAGGTTTTTGTTGAAGGAAGTTGGACCAAATCATCTAGAGCATTTATCAACAGCAAAATCAGCAGTGTAATGTGTAACATGTACACAGCCCTGTTTTACTGTTAATGCTGATCTGATATGCCAGTGACAGTTACTCCTTTGGATATGTTGAACATAACACTTTGATTGTTTGACCTTGTTTTACAGTGTAGCTTCCCATCTCCGTTGAGGCATGAAAAATGGAAGTGAAATAATTTAAGCCATACTGGACCAGATTTCCTCTCCGGTCAGATGTCAATTCAGAAAAATTACAAAGTTGGTCTGCTTCATTTCCACTGCCTCAGGTCACGTAGCAAGGTCGTACACAGAGTGCTCAACAAAGCTGATTTTATTTTCTTATCCAGACATCACAATCATATCAGACACACTCTGTGGGGCAGTTTTAGGTATCATCAGCAACTTCCAGGTAAGACGAATTGTTCCACTGGGCTTTTCAAAACATCAGGTCTAGGATATTTTCCATTAATAATGAACTATAATTAAAATCAGTCAGATCGCGTTAACTTGTACGTACAATATTTCTGACAGAGATTGACCAACTTCACTCAGTGTTCTGGCAGAGGACCAGCAAATGTAAGGTAATCTGTGAGGAAACAGAAAACCCAGAATATATCATGCACAGCCTGGGAGCCCGGGACGACTCGTGTTTTATGGCTTTTCCAATGAGGCAAGACAGTATGTGAGTGAGCAGTGTCTGGTGCAGTCATTGTGTTCCAGCAAAGAGGTGGACCACCCACATGCAGTCAGTGATGGAGTAAATACTGTTGCATGGCCACGTCCCCTTCCATCGCTCGCAGAGTAAACTGTGGTCGAGCGGCGGGGCTCTGCTATCTCAGCTTGCCTCCAGATCACGGGGGCAGAGGTTTGAGACAGAGAGGATGAACCACCCCCCACTCCCCCCCCCCCCCCCCCCTCCCCCCTCCCCCCTCCCCCCTCCCCGCCCTCCCCCAGCCCTGGTCAGGAAGCCGGCTAATAGTAGTCAGTGTCTCCGGGCTGAACTTGGCAGAGCCTCATGTCTTTCAAGCAGGAGACAAACCACTCACGCCCCTCTGGAGCCGAAAGGGCGAAGTGAGGCCCAGAGGGAATGAGGTGCCTACTGACGCCCCTGTCACAGGATGACGCCCTCGCTTTCCTTCCCTTTAATACACGACATCAGGCAGAGAGCATCATGGGAGGGCACCACATGGTTATGATTGAAACAATTGGTAAACCTTAAAAGGCTGCAATCATAGAGCGAATACAATGTGAGATACAGAGTTTAAAAGCAACAAACTTCTGGTGTCACAAATACCAGAGCTACTTAATCATATCCTCTCTTATTGTTTATTTGGGCTGTTTGGATGTTAAACTTTTCAAGGGGGAATAAAGTCCCAGGAGCACAGAAACGAGCAAGCCAATTGGTCTCTTAAAATAGGCCACATTTCTGTTATAACAACAGGAACACGCAATTTTCCATTTTGACTAAATGTAAGGCTGATTACGACCACCATCAGGAGTGCAGCTCACAATTTGTTAGTGGCCAATTTATCATCTCCTTGCGTGTTTCTTGTGGGAATGGAGTGTAAATGTCCCTCAGGCGAATCCCTTTCAATCGGCTCTAAGGGTGAATCTGGTGCCAAGAGTTTAATTTTTCTGCCTTTTATATGAGAATTGTTCCAGCCTTGTTGCACCTTTGTCCTATTTCTGCAACACTGGGATCCACACGGGGAAAGGTCTTCTGATATGACAGTTAGTGACAGCTATATGTGAGAAGGCTGTTCCTACAAATGTGCGCTTTATTGGTCTTAGATGATAGCATCAACCACAATGTATTTTGCTTTCATAATGATTTACTGCTGCCTGGTGGGATGAGCTCAGTGAATATGTGTGGTTGGCTGCCAATTACACTTTTTCCTCTGTTTCTTTTTGGTCTTTGTGGGCTCTGGAGGTTCCTAAACTGTTATAGAGCCATTTGGAATGGAGGCCGGGCAGTACAGTATAAAGTTGTATTTGGCAAAAGACCTCAATGCGCCTCCAAAAATAAGAGCGATGGTGAACATATTTGTCTACATCTGCATCTGTGTGTGTGTGCGTGTGTGTGAGACGGACAGACACAGAGTGAAATACTGGTCCGGTAACACTGGTACCTAAAAATACAAATGGCCATTTTATAGTAAAACCAACTTGCAACTTAGCATAACATACAACTTGAATTTGAGTTGTGAAGTCCTCTCATTAAGCTTTTCTATTGACCATATACAAGCTGTAATGTGTGTATTTAGCCAAGCCTTTTTGAATGTTATGAGACGAGAAAATTATAATTTTACAAATCATTTTGGTGCATTCACATCCCAGTGGTAATGTTTCTGCACCAGCTGTGGTTATTCCTCTACCTGCAGCTGTTCCCGCTGGTAGCCATCTTGAGGAAGTGTCAGTTAAAAAACAGAGCTCTGACCCGGCCACCGCTGTTGTTTTAAAGGAAGAAAGGTGAAGACCTTCCTCCTGAGGGACTGGCGGTCTGACCTGAGGACCAACGGTCAGGGACGTGAACCACAAAGAGCAGGCAGAGGGCCATGTCTTTATAGGGGGCTTCCAGCCAGAGAAGGGGGGGGTGCAACATGTGGCAGGTGAAAGAAATGGATACTTCCCAGACGAGTAAAAAGTACACATGACAGTGTATTCTTATTTCATAAGTAAAGCAGTATTGTTCTAAGAAAAAAAGAAAATGATGATCCTTCATCTCCATCCAGTGAGTTTTCCTTCACATAACCTTGCATATTTAATCATTTCCCATAGTGGACCTCGAACTGAGGAATAT